AACTGAGAACAAGGTAAACCAACAACATCAAAAAGGTCGGCTTCTGTGATTTCTCAAGGGCTTGTTATTTTGTACTTTCCAATTCTATTTGATGTCTTGACAAAACAAGATGACACAAGGGAGAATACATTAAATTTTGATTTTCATCTAACCTGTTACAGTAGAGGCAGCTTAATTTCTTTTACTTTTTACTGAAGACGGCTTTTTGCACAATTACTCTAATTGCCACGCCACTTCACGAGAAGGTTTCTTTACGGGTTTCCTATTTGCCTTGATTCCGTGAGGCGTTTTTTTGAACGTGCGTTGACCTTTAACACGGCGAGCTTGCTGGTTGGAGTGTGTCTTCATTAGAAGTAAATCAGGGAATGGCAAGATTGTCAAAGAAGCAACTGATGTTTTCTCATTAGAATCTAATTTGCACCGTTGTGCTTTAGCTGTGATGTTCAGCTGTAGGTGTCTGCCATAGGTGTGAAAAACTGTACATTTTAAGCAAATAAAGTTTACAACTGTTAGAAAGGCTGCGCTCGCAACCAGAGTGGCAAAACCCAGCCGAGGGTTTCGGCAGAGCTCTGTTTCGCGTGGCAAATCAGCAGCACCATTTAATCAGGTGAATGTTTTCCAAGAGCTCACGATTTTATTTTTTAGCTCATCTGGCCAGGACAATATTTTGTCTTCTCGACTGGCCCAGGTTGGAAGAGGAGCCAGCTGTGGGTTGGACTCCTGCAGGAGAAAATAGTCAGGGAGTGGAGAGAGGGCTTGTCCTTCCCTAGAAATCTGTCAGGAGTTGCAGTTCTCCTGAAAAAATCTGCCACAGGACAGGAGGGGAAAAGAAAAGGGGAAAAAAAAAAAGCCCCTCTCCCTTTTTGCTCACATGAAATTCTAGGCATCTTAAATGTTGCCGGTTCAGTCACGGTCTTTTATTATTTAATTAAGCTCTCCTTAATGTATTAATGAATTAATACACAAATGTGAGGAGTCTGACATGATGATCGTTCTCAGTATATTAAGGGTGTTTGGAGAGAGAGGGTTTCAAAGGGTTTTCAAGGGCTTTAGGGATATTTTGGATGTTTCTAAGCAGGATTGCTTTTGTTTTATTTGAGGCTTTTTTGGCAGAATATGTTGATCTAACATTTCCTTTCCTAAACTCTGAAAAAAAATATGATATTTTTTTTTTTTTGTAAACTGAAGCATTAGAAAATATCACCACTGTTTGGAGCCATGTACAGCAGGTTATAATTTTTCCTTTCATGCTGGAGCGGGAAACAAAAACAATAACTTTGTAAAATGTGAAAAATGATGATGATAATCTCGAGGTTGAAATCTCACTCAGCTTATTAAATGAGTTTTTGGTTGTGTGTGTTTCAGTTTAGTCTCTATTTGACAAATGTTAGATGTAGAAAGGATTTAATTTATGTAAACTTTATATTTTTATGCAAATTAAATGGGTATTTATTATAGCAGAAACAATTATCCTGGCACTTAGTGAGAAACCTGGTATGCATGAGAAGTGGTAGATAAGATCAGATGTTTCATTCTGTAAACAAATACGAAAATATTCCCGTTTTTTCCTCAGCTAGGAGAGAATATAGAAGATAGCAGACACCCTAACGTGCCGGGGAGCGTCAGCACAGCCCGTCGGACTGCCTTCCGTGGGTCAGAGGGAGATCTGCTCCTGATAAAATGCAATAAACAAAATTATAATAATAAAATGCTAATTTAATTTTAAAGAGTGTTTCCTCCCCCACTCTCATTTTAACAGGGACTCGTATTGTTACGGAGAGAACAGTGATGCTAATGACAGACTACTTAGCTGATTTGCCATTAATATAACAAACATCACCTGTCTGCGGGTGTTGTACCGGGTTAGGGCAAGATACCTGAGTCTGAAAGCGAGATTCCATTTTGCAGAATGGACCAGCATTGCAGTTTCAGCGTGAATACTTCTAGCGGCGGCACGGGTTTTGTTGTTGCTTCAGAGGATGAAATAATTACGTCGGAAATGTTTTAGTCTCGGGATGGACTTGGGTCCTGCCTTCAGCACTTCTTGTTTTGCTGGGCTCTGCTCCGGCTCGTGGCGTCGTGCCTCTCCCTTTGCCCGTGGACGGGTGGTTTATCTTCTCCTGTGGCATCAGCAGAGCTGTTCGGCATTGTTTCGCTGGGGATTTTTTTTTTTCCCCTACATTTCAAATGTATCGCACATCGCAGCTTTCTAATAAGACAGCTCAGGTTAATTGTTTGGTTTTGCCTGTGTCTATTTTTATTCCTAGCCCAGTATTTTTAACTGTTCCTCAACGACTTGCTCTTTCTGCGCTCTGCTATGTTTTGCTCCGTTTAACTTTTATCACAAAATCTTTAACCGAAGAATTGCTGTTTGGAAATCCAAGGTGCCTGGTATGAGGTCTGACTGAAATCGAGTTCAAACGTACGTGGCAGGAGAGGATTTTCTGGCAGAGTTATCCTTTATGAATTAAGGAAATCCTCCCCGTCTTCCATGCATGCCTGCTAACAGTTAACAGGACCACAACCGTATCCAACACCGAAGGCACGTTATGTGAAAATAGCATCCTTTTTTTTTTTTTGATCTTTCCCTCCCCCCCCTTTCACTTCATACAAGATTAAACTACTTGAAATTATTTAGCCAGTATTTAATTATATTAATATCACTGAAAATGGGGGAATGGAAATGATTAAATAGGACTAAATCATTTTCATCCCTGTGACCCTTGTCTGGGTTCTGTGGAGGAGTGACAAATGCATCCCTGCGGTACTGCCGCTGGGAAGGGAGAGGTGAGCTTGGCCCGAGTTTGTGGAAGTTTTCCTCGGTGGGTCTCGCCAAAATCCAGCGTGTTTGCGGAGCCTGAAACGGGGGGTAGCAGGAGGGGCCTGCGGGAGGGCTCTGGGGGCTGCAGAGGGACGGCGGGCAAAAACCTTGGGAGAAGTAGTGTCTGAAAACAATTGTGAGTATTAAAGACGTTTTTTGCCGTTGATGGTATTAGCATGTCAGCAGGTCTCTACTAGCACGGCTCTGAAAGCCAAATTGCAGCTGTATTTTTACCTTTGCTGCCAGGTTTACGTGCAGCTGGGTATCTACCACACCCTATTGTTATCAGTCAACAATACCAGAAGTAGTTCGTTAATCGTATCGATATCAACAATCGTGTTTCATGTGGAAAATAGAAATAAACAACTTGAAAAAAAGACAAGATTGATTTCTGCTCCACATGCTAACTTAGCATTCTTTAAATATATCTGCCAGTAGTTTAATTTGAACTTCAACTCCCTGAAGGCAGTAAGACAGAATTATTTTAGTTCTTCATAAACTGCCTTCTGTGATTCATTGTTAACTCATAAAACACGCTCATTTTCATGTACTTAAACAGTTAAGCCGTTTTTAAAGTTGGTTTGTAATTTTTTTTGGCAACACATTTAAGTTGACATCTGAGAGATAGAAATCTGAAATTAATTTATAGCCCTGGGTTTAGGTTTCGTTTACTATCAGACAAAGTATCAGAAATAAATATTTTTTATCTAACGTAATGTAAAGTATATTGCACAGTATCTAAAATAAAGTTTAGTTTTGACTGAATACACTCAAAAAGGGACCCATAAATATTAGAGAGCTGTAGTTAAGAACTTACATGACTGTTTTAAATACTATTGATTTAAACCACTGGCTAGATTTTATGAATCAAAGTGTAATTTCCAAGCTTTCGCTATATTTCTCATCGCTAAAGCACTCTCTCTTGTGTGCCTTTAGCAGCTTTCCAGACATTCAACACGGGATTAAATGATAGTAGTTACAATGATCAATAGGTTAAGACCGGTACAATCACTCTTACCGCTAATGACCTCGGTAGTAATGGGTAATAAAGTGTGGGCTATAATAGCCTATTGCTGGTGCTGCGTGCCCTTTGAATCCCAGTATTACCAGGGACTAGCTACATGAAAAAGTTGGACGTTGGGAGTTGAGAGAGTGGATATATAGGCCATCACTCTTAACTATTTCCAGTCCTCAAACCAGCTGTGTGCCCACGCTTGCCCGGGACACGCGGGTCCTTTCCGACACGGCGGTTTCTCGTTTCCTTGGATTTGTTTGTGAAAGGTTTCCACAGGTTGCCTTCGTGACAAGCCGAAGTACAAACTTTGGCCGAACGTGGCCGTCAGCCGTGTTTATAGATGGGAGGCAGGACCTTCCTTAGAGGCACAGATGTGGTGTGAAAATGGGGTTTCGGGTGGTAAGACGAAGTTGAGCGGGTCGACGCAAGCTTGTACGCCCAGATGTGCCGCATACGTATAAAATACTTAATGTCCTGCTGGTTCAGTGCTTCTGTTCTAGCGAAGAGCGCGCAGCTGGGAGATTCTTCACCGGAAGGTACGTGGCCAGTTTTCAACGCTAGGGCCAAATCCTCAGATTCATCCCAAGATAAACAGGCAAAAGAGCTGTGGAAGTGAATGGGAGTTGTCTCTGCAGAGCTGACGGCAGAATGCGGCCCTTCGTATTAATCACCCGTGTGTAGGGCTTGCAGCACCCCACCCTATTCCTGTCCGTAGCCCCGCTTGTCGTCATAAATCTGACTGAAGAGTATTTGTGTTGTCTATCTTCCAAGAAGGGCACAGAAAACATACTTAAACATGCTTCCTCTTCTGTTTGCTCAGTCCAACTTCAATGAAAGGTAGTACAAACCCGAGGGTAAAGTAAACTTCTCTGGGGATGAGAATAATGAAGGTGAGTCACGCTTCGGGGCGAAGATAGTGACGGCAGGATTTAATTAAATAATTTTCCTACTCCCAGAAAAGTTTTTAAAAAGGCCGCGGATTAAGGTGGGATTACCCATCCCGATGACTCAGAGCCCTCGGAGCTGGTCCTGCCGTGGCCGAGGTGGTGGCAAGCAGCGCGGTGGCCGCCGGCGTTGGTGGCGCTGATGTTTGACCTGTGATCGAGTCTCTGTTCGCCCACGTTTGCGCCAGCCTGGACCGTGTCGGATCCCCGGGAAGGCGCCATGCCCAGACCCCGTCTGCCTCAACGGGGTGTCGGAGCCTCTGCCGGGCTTCGCTCGGGCGAATGTTTTCCGGGCGGCGCCGGGCCCTGGCGCGCGCCGTTTACACAACAACACGGGGAGATGCGCGGCGTACGTGCGTCTGACCTTCAGGAACCGTTTTTAGTTCGTCAAAATTAGTGATGCTGAGAAATCAGGACATCAGTGCATAATGACTGTGAAATTAGGAATGAGAGCTTGCTATGCAAATGACAGGACAAATCATGTGAAAAAGTCAAGATAAACTGCATATTAAGACATTATGTTACATAAAATTAACACTGCGTTTCTCTCTTGCTTACTACTACACTGGAAGATTTTTTTTTTAACTCCTTTATCTTGTGATCAGCTATTGTCTGCTGATTTTTTAGAAAGTGGTGCACAGAAAAAGTGCTAAACATATTATTACCTTTTATTGTAATACGTGAGGTGACAGGAGATTCTTTTTAGCAAAGTATATCTTTTACTGCTTTTAGTTTTGTGCTGTCACGTATTTGATTTGAAACTATAGAAAAGTAAGGTGCTGAAATATTACTGTTAGAACTCATACGGGTTTTGTCTTTTCCTCTATTGTGTTTTTTTTTCCCCCTCCTTTTCTATTCCTTTTTTTGGGTGGAGGGTAGAGGGGTGGGTTTCTAGGGAAATAGTCTTCTTGCATTACTAGGACTGACAAAATGGTTCTCATGTAGTCTGCAAATTAAACACAAGTGCAGTGATTATTTTGAATAGCTAAATTACATTCTAGAAAGCTTGCAGAATTCGTAGCATTGTCATTAGGTATCCGCTTGAATACAATTTGTGTAACCTTGGCCAAGACAGCCTGTCATTTTAATGTCAGTGTTTTATCTGAACAAGACATCATCCTTTCAGATACAGTGTACAGGTTCCTTGCAAAGATGCCCGTGCAGAAACGTGTTAACAGTTGCAAATATGAAATGCTATCAGGTTCATCACTGTAGCTGTTTGTCACTGAAATGTCATGGAAAGCGGCTTTTAATGGTATCTCACATAATATGAAAGAATTGAAGACATCTGTATGCTGGGTGAATATGGAATGGTAAAGACATCGTGGTAGGGCCTTTCTGTTAAAATTGCATAGGAGTCTAGTGCTGTTATTCACATCACTGAGCCTTCCTTCAATTTTCTTAAAAACCTGTCGTAATAGGGTCTAGATCTCATCAGCTCCAGGATACTCGGCTCTTGGGTTTCTGTACAGCAGGCGGGGGCGTTCTGAGAGGGAAAGAACCCGGTTGACAGTTTCTCGTAAAAATAAATAAATACGGGTTTACCCTCTCACTTGCTCTAAAGAATTCCCATCGCAGTAATGCTTTGGGAATTGAGCCACCAGGAAAGCGTGGTCGGTACCTCTGTGCCTGCCACGGTGCTCTGTAAGGGCTGCATCGCCCTCGGTGCCCAGCGGGATTTCGGTGATGCGCTCTGACCCCCTCTCTGCTCTCCTCTCGTGCTTCAGGTTCCAGTGTCGGTGGCTATGATGACACCTCAAGTGATCACTCCCCAGCAAATGCAGCAGATCCTCCAGCAACAAGTGCTAACTCCCCAGCAGCTCCAAGTCCTGCTCCAGCAGCAGCAGGCACTCATGCTTCAACAGGTAATTGTTTCCTTAGCAGCTGCTCGGGTGGTCCCTGTTGGCACCGGAGGGCTTCGCCTCCCGAAATGTTCCTGGGGAAAGAAGCTGTCCTGCATCTCGGGTCCGAACCTCAGGGCAGCCGTGGTCCGAGATGAACTGACTGGTCTTTTGTTTTTAATTCTAGAAATAGCTACTGGAAACAAATCCAGGGAGCAGTGCTAGGAGTGTTTCCAAGATCAGCTAAATAATACAGATGCATATTTAAGTGTCAGGACTTCGGCAGATGTCCCTGTTGCTTTTGCCTGCGTCCCCCAGACAGCACGGCGTGCCCTGCCTAGTTGGAGTAAACGAGGTAGTAGGGCGATAGTTCCTGGTTTAGACCTCACTGTGTCCATCTGGAACCGTAAAGGACTATGGAAACAGTGGCAGTAAAAACGAAGAGGTTTGCGAGCCTTAATCTGTTTGATTCCAGCCAACGTACGCCCTGCGGCGCGTCAGTGTTTCTCGCAGCCCGTGGCCCTTTTTTGACTGAAAGTTGGCCACCGATGAGCCCCGAGGCTCCGTTACCGCAGGGTGGGGCTCAGGAGTCCCGGGTGGGCGTCAGCACCCACCCCAGCCCCACCTCGCGTGCTCCCTCCTGCCCACGCCGTGCGCATCTGGGGAGCGGGGAGGAGGAGAGGGTTTCCCGGGATGTCTGTGCATGTATTGAGCGACACTTAATACAGTCAAACCCCATCATTTAGAAAGCGTGTGTGTTTCACAACAGAGATTCGCCAGGCTCTCTCAGCAAGGGCATTTTGGCTTTGTTGTTACAATCAAAGGTCATTCCTTGCCTTATTTTAATTAGTTTGTGTAGAAAATGGTATGTTTTTCATCAGTTCATTTTGGAGATTACTTTTCAAACGATAATGCCAAGAATAGTCAGTGTGCACTGAATTTATTGTTGAGTTTCAAACTAAAGGTCAGACCATTACAGATAAAAGGATGCTATTTTTCAAATCACAGTTTGTGTGTTACACCAAAAGGGACACTGAATTGGCTCTCCACTTTGTTACTTACCATCTTTCCTTTTCTTTGTAGCAGCAGCTTCAAGAGTTTTATAAGAAACAACAGGAACAGTTGCAGCTTCAACTTTTACAGCAACAACATGCTGGAAAACAGCCTAAAGAGGTACAGACAATACCCATTTTACTTTCAAACCACAGATCCCCGGGGACTGTCTAGTGGCTATTAAACTGTCATTCATCTTATAAATGATTGCACAACTGAACTGACTCTATCAGGTCTCAGCTTTCAGATTTAGAGTTATTGTCCTGTTTTCGCCTGTATTTTCCTGTGCTTTCCATTTGCTTGCTGCCACATATTTTATAGCGGGGGGACCGTGCCTTGATGTTCGGCGTGAGTACTGGAGCAAGCATCGAGACTTGTATCTGGGGAGAGTGCTTTTGGGCGTTAGTTATGTTGTAAAGGGGAGGGGGCAAGGCAGCAGGCCCAGATATGGTGATGTCCTCCTCGAACAGGGCAGAATGCCAAGAGACGTTGAGTTTGGGCTTGCGCTTTCCAACCAGAGAGGTTCTGCTTTGCATGTTCCTCGCAGCGTGGGCATAGCAGGAGGGATCGCGCCGGAGTGGTGACAGCGAGAAGCGAGGTGTGAGGGGCAGAGGCAGCGTGGGAACACCTCGCTCTGATGCCACCACAGTCCGTGGCAGGAGCAGGACGGGGTAGTTTATGCCTGCTCTTTACATACACTTCCCTTTCGAAATACCCATCGTGTCCCAAACTTTGTTGATTTTGGTATGCTTCGATGTTTTTTTGCTGCAGTCGCGTTTCTTTTTAAGGCACGGAGTTCGCCTCTCTAGTCACAAAGAGTTCGAGACTTTCATCTTTAATCTGACATTGGTGCTGGCTCGGGTAGATCCTAGAAAGCTGCCTCTCGACGCGAGACGCTGTGTGATGTCCTGCGATAGCGGCAGCGCTCGGGCATTACTTCACAAGCGACGCTGCTCGAAGCACACACCAATTTCTGCCCTCCTCCTCCTCCCCCAGCCTCCTTGAAATTTCGGCAAAATCGTGCCACCTGTGCCAAGTTTTAACCCAGAGTGAATTTTTCCAGCTGAGTTATAAACCCCTGAAAATAAGGGGGTTTTTAATGGAAACGCTGACACAACCTTAACCATAGCGCGCTTACGGGCGCCACTATAATAAAAAGGGAACAGATTAAAAAGTGTCTAAAATGTAAATCTAAAGGACTAACAGTAATTAAAATGGAAATGGCACAGGGAGGGAAGGCATGTAATTGTGAGATATCACTGTGCAGAATGCTCTCAGCTTTGTTTTGCTGGCTGTTTTTCTAATTCAGTAGGGCTTACTCATCAGTGGCAGTTCAATGCGCGTTAATGACTCTGGGATGCAGGCATCACTCTGGACAAAGAAATGATTATTGTGCGGTCAAAAGAAGTTCAAAGACAAGAAGGGAATTTCAGTTTTTTCCTTAGAGATCCACATTCAAGAGCATATAAATTAAGCCAAATGTTAAAAACCACAGTCTGAAAGCTGACTTCAAAGTCACAACTCTCTAATTAATGAACTGCGAGCTTCAGTTTGGACAAGTCGTGGTTTGATGCGCCCATAAATCAACATGACAGGTCTGTTTCACAGTCTCAGACAGCGCTTGTCATTGAGTCACATCAGATGTAAACACAGCAGAAAAAAGAGGGAATATGAAGGAGGTGCAATTGATCAACAGAATTGGTAAAAACCCACTTTTGAAACGCATTATGCATGATCACAGGAAATGGCGATAGCCTCAAGAGGCTTTCTCCTTCTGCTGTTGCTTTTTTGAATCAGATTTCTAACAGCCTTCAAAAGGGAGAATAAGAATTATGGAGCTTCTCCCCTGTGGCTGGCAGGCAATAACCCCCTGTTGTTATTTTGTGCTTCTTTCTTTTCAAAGGCGTCAAAATTTAGTTTTTTAAAGATCTTTAACTCTATATTTGAAGACAAACAATAAAGGGCTGCCACTGTCATTCTTATCAGTTACCAGGGATTGTATTTTTTCTTTCTGTTGCCACTTCTTATTAACCTCTTATTTGGTCTATTAGACATAGTTTTGAATGCAAGCCTGCATGCTGGGAGAACATGAAAGTTCGGATGAGCTCAGAGGGCAGATAAAGAAATTTGAAGGGGAAAGTTACACAGCAGAATGAACGATAAAAGTTAACTCTTCTAAATTGCTGTTGTCAGACAGGAGAGCATCTCAGACACAAAGATGAGGGCTTGGAGCTTAAAGAAAAAGAAATACTTTGTGTTAAAAAAGACGAGAAGGGAAGTTAGACAATGTGATGGCATTTCAATATCTAACACGCGGATTTACTGTGGTCACACTTCTGATATTACACTATCGAAAGCAACAATAAGAAAGGACTCCTTCCTGTTCCGAGAAGAGCATTTTAACACGGTAGCTGTTAAGAGAACAAGGGACCCAAGTCCCTTCAGCTTTTCCTAGGGTTTTGGGGAGGTATTTTTGCTGCTGGTGTTAGCAGTGATGCGTGTCATCCCGCAGGTTCGTTCGGCCCTGTTTTTCCTGCCACGGGGAGGTTACTCTTGCTAAATTAGCATGCGAGCGATGGTCTTTTTTGTTTTTATTTTTGTTCCCCTCTCCCTCTCGTACTGAGAACCGATGGTCGGGTCGCATGGCGGACAGCGGCGGCCGCTAACGAGGGCCGAGGTTGTACCTTGACAGATGGAACAAGTGCATTCGCGTAGGGCATCCCCCAAGTCATTTCCTTAGTGCCTTGTCCTATTGTCCTGTCGTGAAAGAAGAGAAAAAAAACCCATGACGCGTCTCCCCAGCCCCGCTGGCAAACGGGATCCCACCCCCGAGACTGATAACAGAGGGACCCCAGCGAGGAGCCCGGTGGGTTTTACTCAGGGGCTGCGTGCCGGAGCAGGGGGTGAGCGCTGCACGGTGCCCTCGAGGAGGTGAGACCCCAGGCCTTTGCCCCGGAGGGGGCACCTCTCCTCCAAAACCGGTCGGCTCTCCCCGAAGCAAGGGGGACTCCGGAGGGGCTGAGGGACCCGACTGGGTGCCGCGGCGCTGGACGGGAGCGGGTTGTTCCCCCAACAGGGCCATTTGTCCTCCGGCAGTTGTGACAGTTTATGTTAGGCAGTAGGGAGTAACCTAAGAAAGGAAAACAGACCTTTGACAGAAGCTTTAGGGAGGGGACCAAAAATGCAAGTTTTATCAGGATATTTCAGCATTTTACCACTGACTACTGACCTGACAACAGGACTGCACCGAGACCTTTTTTGTATGCATTCAATTGTGAGAAGTAAACAAACTGCCTTGTATCCTGTGTTTGGTAACTGGGTGGGGAGCGCACTTTGGCAGCGTGTCTTGCTTTTAAATTCTTTCTTGGACAATGGGCCTTGTATACTTTTATATCCTGGCTTTTCAAAGTAGAGAGCGTTCAAGAGCTTTTCTTAGGATAGCTGAGAAGACAACCAAATGGGCATCAGTCAATTTATATAGAAGGTGGTTTTTTAAAAAAAGAAAAGCATGCTGACTTACACTCAGATGGCAAATAGGTAAAACACAGCTTGCTGTAATTAGATTTTATTGTAATACCATTTATTTTATATGTATATATATATAAATCTTCAGAAAATGAGTATTTATGGAGGCAAACATTACTTTAACTCTTAATATAACCATTGCTGGGACTTGCCTTCACCTGGTGCTGCTGCCAATAGTTGCAGCAACCGAACCTCTCAGAGCAATATATTGCAAAGAAATGAAAACTCTCCCAAGTTTCAGAAAATCTAAACACCTGTTTGTTTAACCATATTCTCGAGGTCTTAGATTTTTGTTGGAAAGAAGATAAATTGACTTTATGAATCAGATCAATAGACTGACTGGCTGTCAGCACCGTGATGGGTGTGCAGGCGGTCGCAGCGTTAAGGCTGATGGGACTTGGTTGCCCAGGGAGGTGGGGGCCAGACTCTTGGCTGTTGTCACTCCTGCTCCTCCAGCTCTCGTGGATTTTTTTTTCCCCCTCCTGCTTGACACCAGTCGGGACTGGAGCCAGTGATCCTCTGGCTCGGTGTCAAGGAAAGGCAACAAAACGCTTGGGCTCAGGCCGGGGTTTGTTTGTGAAAGTTGCACGGTTCCGTAAGAGTTAATTTTCTTTCCATAATTGTTAGCCATAATGTGTATAAGACCTCCACCTTGATATGATTCCTAGCAGATTAGGGATATTAGATAATTTCCTTCTATTTATTGTACTACTGCACTGTATTATCTTTCTATCACTCAGATAATTACTAAGGAAATCTACATTAATTTTTTTTGGCTAGCACAAGGAACTGCTAAACACTGGCATGATGTATTGATGTTTTACACAACAAAAGTTTTCCTCCTGTCATTGTACAATAAATAAAAAGATATTTATCAAAATGCAAAGCCTTTCATGGATTTTAAAGAACAAAGCAAATAAAATACAAGATGAGCATGGAAGCAAAACCTAGAGGCTTCCTTAACTGAACAAAATTAAGGACTCTGAAGCCTGGAGTACTGTACATATTAAACACTCACATTCAAGTAAGATGTTGTTTGCTAAATTATGAATGTGTGTAATTAAAATCTAGTGGCTGTTTCTATGAAAGATTTACAATGTTATTTCATCGTTTGTCATGGCTAATTAACAATATTAGATGAAGTTTTTCTTCTTCAAAGGTCTGATTTTTTCTCATTTATTTATGTCAGAAGTGATAAACAGAGTAGTTAAAAGCTTCTCCGGGTACAGCAGTGAGAAAAGCAACATGTTCTTTTACACCTCGAAGGTTCAAGGTTCGCATCCCTGCGGAGTAAAGCAACTCCATCTTCTTTCTAGTGAGAATAATTAAAATTTTCAAAGTGCAGAAGTAGCAGCCTTAAATACAACCCGGAATAATACTGAACATAGCAGAGTATTGTGGGGCCTGATGGATGAATAAGGGAAAGCATAAAATACCATAAATTAAGCCAGTCGAGTTGCCTTAATAGCTGAGACAACCCTCACATGAGCAAACAGAGCGCAGGCAGGGCTGGTTTTCAGTGCATCGAGCCGCGATGTGATCCCGTGGTGTGATTCTGGCGTTAGACGTGGTGTTCTCGGCCTCTCAGAGTTACCCGGGACTTGTGACAGCTGCCGGCCCCGGTCGCTTTCCCCACCGCCGGAACGGGGTAAAACCTGCCCATGTGGAGCGGGATGACGCAGGAGCACGGGCCCAGAGATGCTGCGATGCATTTTTTATTGGGATGGCAGGAGGGCTTTGGGTAGGATGAAAGTAACGGCTGGAGGTGGGAATGAACTGCAGCCCCGTGGTCAGCTCAAGCACCTACGCCTGCCTTACGGGGTGCTGGGCTCAGCAGCTTGCCTTGATACCAGGTGAAGTCGGAGTGTGCCGAGACCAGGAGCCCTGTACTCTGCGAATGCTTTGCTCCTTATTGACAACTGTGCATTTTTTTTATTATTTTATTTTTATATTTTTTTCTTTTCCAGCCCCAGCAACAGCAGGTGGCTACGCAGCAGTTGGCCTTTCAGCAGCAACTCTTACAGATGCAGCAGTTGCAGCAGCAGCACCTCCTGTCCTTGCAGCGGCCGGGGGCGGCTTAGCCGGCCAGCCTACTCTGCCTTTGCAACCCCTCGCACAAGGTAGGTGAGGGGTTTGGGGGCTGCCGGCTGTTTGGCAAAGCGATAGCACACACGCACGCAGAATTTGTCCACTGACTAGGAGAGGAATCTCGTAGACTCATATAAATACTAAGCACGGAAAAATCTCGACAGGCAGAGTGGGCGGCGTAAAGGTATTTTTTGAGAAGGGCAACGCTGAAGTCGTGGGCTGCTCAGGCCGGCAAGAAGCGGGTGCTTCAGAGTGGGGCTTCAGTTTGCGTAGCTGTAGCTCGCCCCGTGGACTCAAAGCTGCTGGTTGTGCTCATCTGGGCCTGAAATCCTTCGCACGAGGCATCAGATCGATTCTTGGTGCTGGGTTTGTGGCTAAGGGTAGCATGAGAGCAGCTTTTTTTTTCTACACGTATTATTTGAGCCCCTTCCAGTTGCAGCCCGACGAGGAGCCGGGCGCAGAGGAGCTGTGCTTCACGTGCTGCCGAACTGTAGCAATTCTGGTTTGCCCTTCGCGATAGCCACGGCTCCTCTCCACGCCCGTTTGCACAGCCCTGGTTCCACTGCCTGTGTGCCCTGTAGCTTCGTTCCTTCCTCCACACTGAGGCAAATTGGGATTAACTCTGTTTAATTTTAATGGTGTTATTGACAATTAGATCCTCCTACATCTTCATTCATTCCTGCGCTCTGCAAGAAGTTACTGCTTTGCTGAAATCCCTATTTATTTCTTTTCTAATATATTGATACTTTGAAAGCAATAGCTACTCAAGTCACGATACCTATGACAGCAGTTATAACCTGAGGTTTTTATTCTCCCTTTTCTTCTCTGGTTGGAATTTATTTTATTTTATTTTTAAACTGGGTTTGTCTGCAAGCCTCGGGACATTTTAACAGACTTGCCTGAGCTGTGACTGCTGTGATTAAGGCAGACTCTTCGAAGTTGACATGGCTCAGGGAAGACCAGGTCTTTCAACCATGATGCTGGTATTTCTGAATAATCGTGCCTTTTCCTTCCCTTGCCTCATAATAAATTTAAACATCCACCTCAACAACTTGAGTCAGCTTGGGTTGAATGATTTGGGCTCTTCAAAGCAGCCTTAGGGCTGCTACTAGTTGCTAAACCATGTAATGAATTTGCATTCAGTTTTATTCAGTTAAATAGCAGGGACAGGACGAAATTGCTTCCCTTCTTCACCCTCCTTTTGTTGCGTGGAGCTGCAAAAGGCGAGCAAGGTGGCTGACAAATATCGGCTTATACGGATAAAAGGCGACAAAACTGAGGAGAGGAGTCTGCTTTGCCAGTGATTTATTTAGCCTTATTTTTGCCAGACCCACCAAGGTATCAGAGCACCTGACTCCTGTCTCGAGAGGCCAAGCCTCTGCAGACCTGGTGCCTCTCTCTGCAAGGCTCAGTTTAGCTTTCTGGCGTCCCAGAGCTCGGTGTGGGTTCTGGGCCAGTCCTGTGCGTGATTCGGGGCTGATGCACGAGAGGGTGGGGGCAGTCACTCTCGATGCCCAGCGTGATGGGGAGAAGAAACACGTCCAGAAGAAAGGGCACGTAGGCAAAATGCCATTTATACTTGCGTTAATTATGCTTCAGATTTACTGTCGGAAGCATCCCAGGCTGTTCGCACACACCCACCGGACTCAAGCGTCAACCTTTCTAATTTTTCCCACAGCTCCTATACTATTAAGCCGGCTCGGTGAGGTTCATTGTATAGTCCATCAGTTAAGCTGTCCAAAGAAGGGCAATTGGGCAGTGACAAGACACGCTCATGTGTAATGTGAAAGAAATGAATGTGGTGATGCATGAAGTGTAATCTGTGCGGTAACACATCGGAGACACCAGTAGGTAATTCAGCGGTCGTGGCATTGATTGATATGGTTAGCAGGGCAGGGTAACTATTAGTCCTCGGGAAGGAGCGTATTTAAAACCTAAGGGGTGCCTACTTGCACGCCGGAGACCACCTAAAACTAAGCAGAAAGGGCTGGTCCTTGCAGGGGGATGAGCTGCGAGCGCTGGGGGTGGCTGAAGCCGGGGGCTCGGCAGTGGGAGGAAAGAGGAACTCGAGAGTTCAGGCTGTTGCGGTGCAGCACGATATTTTATATTTTTTTTATCAGAGAGACGATGGCTTAAAACTGATGTCATTATGAGGTTTAAATCAACTTTCTGCTTGCTTGAACATGGTCACCTGGGTATGGAGGTACAAGGACACAAAGAGGTTGAGCAACTCTGTTTGTCTTTGAGCCGGTGATACCTGGGGTTGGGAAATTGAGTTCCGTGAGCAGTAATCTGTCAACTGTCCCCACAACATACATTTTTTAAACCTGTGCCTACATTTTCTTTCATAATGAAGGGGACTAGTTGTCCTGAAAAATAAAATGAAGAGCCAGGGCTGTAGTTTAAAATAATTGGTAATGGACACTTCTGTTTCTATTTTTATTTTTAAATAAGAAATTATGTCTTTCATACCCTTTTGTTTTCAAAACGGTTTGTAAGACTGAGATAAATACCGTAAATGTGCATATAAAAAAATTTAAAATGATTCCTCTGGTAAATGCAGCTATGAATTTGGTTAAAAGCATTTTGCTTTTATTCTTAAGTATCTGTAGTAGTAATAAATGTTTCTAAAGAGCAAATGCTACTTCATAAGTGATATTTTCATTATGTTCTTGGAACTAATACATTGTTTAAATCTGCATTTTACTTTCATTTTGGTTTTTAGTGCTTGCCTATTGTCTTACACAAAATAGCACATCCTTTAGTGTTATATTGGTGTAATCGTTGCTGCTTTGTATTTAGACACATCCATAATCTGGGTTTTACATCTGTGCGTAGCAGCGATTTAAAAACAAACCGCGTTTCGGCTCCTTCTGAGCTGCGAGAGCTCCATCTTTTAGTATCTGCGAAATGAAACTGCAGATCACACCTCAGATCACCAGCGAGTGAAAATAATAGGACTGAGACGTCTGGTGCCCGATTGCTCCCGCAGATTTGGCAGCTCCGGGGCTAAATCCCGTCACTGGTACGTACGAAGCCGCAGCACCGGCAGCAGCGATCTCAGGGAATTGCAGCGCAGTTCTGGGAATCCGACTCAAAATTTAGCTCTTGCTGTTCAGATGAAACCGTTAAATGGTAAATTACATAATTTATTGCGAGTCTTCGTGGATCTACTTGACTTTGCTTTTTACCATTTGTTCTATTATTTTATTTAACCATTTTGCCGGATGAGTAATGAGCATATACCTTTCAGCTGCCCAGTGTGACAGCCTGGTTAGGAATTCTCTCTGCAGTTATTCTAAAAGAATTAAACTTGGGGAAGGAGGAGAGAGGCTCTTTTTTTTTTAAAACTTTATTTTATTAATCAAGTGACGTAGTCGCTTAATTAAGCGATGGGTTGTATGCAGGCATGTATGACATCACAGTTAACTTAAAATTAACGCCTTTATTATCTCCATCAGTTTTTCCCGACACAATTGGGTGTATTTTCTTTTGATACGTGGCATTGCTGTTGTTAGTGCTAATATGAGTTATGCTTGTGTAGGAAGTTAGACCAAACCACCTTGACTTTGAGAGGATCTACAGCGAGGTATCAATATTCTGTGTATGTATATTTTGATGGCTGTAACACTTGCAAGCTTTTCCTTGGGATAAAGCATTAATAGATCCAGAAGTGACCGGGAGAGGAGAGGGGAAGGGGAGAGGAGAAAGGGGGAAAGGGAAAGGGGACGGAGTGCTTGTCTGGCTCTAATTAAAAACCCGCAGAAATCCAGATAAGGGATGGCCAAAAAAAAAAA